ATGGTTCCCTTCAATATGTGGCTGGGGTCCCCTTGGCACATCAGCCTTTCCTGGGCTAATGTGTAAGTGTCACATGGAGCCCAGCCCCAGCGTGTACAGTACCTTCAGCCACACGCTAGCTTAGCTATCAGTACAGAGCAAACTTTGAAACAAATGCACATGCTGCAACAAAATAGAGATATTCTGGCTAAACCTCTGTATCATTCAGCTGTTTTTGGCTTTTAGGTCCCATTGTGACCATTCGGGGTATCAGCTTTGCAGACTGGTAGATCCTCCTACCCTGTCAACCAGCCCAACCCCTAGGAGTAGCAGGTCAAATGAAACCTCTCAGTCCGAGGTCACAATTGCTCTTTGCTCCAGGACAGGAAAAAAGGATCTGCCTATGCCCCAAAACAGCACTGCACAAATTTTACATGTGTTTGCATGGGAGGAGGCAAACAGGGAGCTAAGAGCAGCTTGTGCTCGCTGGCTGCTAGAGATAAGGTGGCAGGACCCTCCCTCAAAACCTCCCTGCACAGGAGTCCCAGACCCAGCCTTGCTCACACCCAGGCTCCCCTTTCAGGGCTCTTGGGGCAGCACAGCAACTGACTTCTCTCCCTCAGTGGGGACACTGGGACGGAGAATTGCAAGTGCCAGAGGGGAGGGTACTTGGCCAGAAGCCCGCCTTCCCCCTGCCCCCAAGCAGCGTCTCCCTTGCTGGTTCCAGGCCTTGGGAAATGCAGCACTGGGTGAACATCCTGAGCATTATTTTTTCCTAAGTAGTCTCCATTTGTGTTCCTCCTCCCTGCATGCAGTTACAGCCCCCTCCAACACACCTCCCCCAGGCATCCCATTAATGCCTTCCCTCTCTCTGCAAACGAGTGCACCAACCTCAACAGATGGGTGCTGTTTCTCACCCTGCTGCAGGCACACGGGAGTCTGCTTTCATCCATGCCATCTCTGCTGCGGGCATTGCCTTTGCTGTGACTCGGGCCTGCAGCCGTGGGGAGCTGGAGAAGTGTGGGTGTGACCGCAAGATCCGAGGAGTCAGCCCTGAAGGTGAAGGAGGAGAGGACAAGCTCCACGGGGAACACCCTCACTGGGGGAAGAGAGAGCTCACTTTTCCCAGAATACCTCCTTCTGCTCCACCACCCTTGGCCCTTCTGGAGCTTCTCCCAGGAA